CAAACACTTCACCAAATGAGAATAGCCCAATGCGCGGGCAACATTTATTATAGTTGTACTGCAACCATATGTACACACCAACATCATAAAGGTATATCTCCTGTAAAAACACAACAACACAACAATGAATAGTAATCCAAATCGATATGAAAATTTACATTGTGCAAAAATTAGATGACTATGTGTGCAGTTCAAGTGCTAAATCCATAATTCACATTAACAAGATGTGAACATTCACATTGATACATATGCATATACTTCGAATTATATCACCTACGCAGAGCCTCATTAAACAAACATCAAAGTAAAATAAGAACATCCACATTCTTTACATAATATTAACAAGATGTCAACATTTACATTGACACATATACTCTGAATTATATCACACACACAGAGCCTCATTAAGCAAACATCAATTTAAAATGAGAACATTCACATTCTTCACATAATTCACATTAACAAGATGTAAACATTCACATTGATACATATACTCTAAATTATATCACCTACACAGAGCCTCATTATAGATACATCAAAATAAAATGAGAACTACACATTCTTCACATAATCTGAATGAACTCCCATCCACAGGACTACGTAAAATGCATATAATTGAAAAAACAGAGCATCCAATCTATATCAATCCAAAAATAGAGCAACTGATCCATCATACAAATGAAACCACATAACCAAAATGATACTAACCTTAATCATGCAATCCTACAATCGTCCAGAAACTCGAAAACAACTGATTTGAACTATTTCTACTCCAGAAAATGTGACAACCGAACACCTTCCAATTCGTCGTCTTCACTCGAAAATCACCGAACTAGACTACAACAGCAAGAATGAAACCCTAGCACATCAAAGCGTTGGAACGAGCATGCAAAATAGAAATGTATCCCTCTGAATTAGAATGATGATGAAAAGCGTAAAGATAGAAACTGCCAAAACTGAATCAACGAAGAAACAGGCAACGTGATATGTATTAACACTGTATATATATATATATATATATATAAGGGCATAATAGTCTAGGTAAACATATTAAATTAGAAAAATGGACCTTATGGAATAAAAAAAAAAAGGTATATAGGACTAATCATGTTATAATATTCCTTTGTGGACCTAATGGGTTATAACAACTCTAAAATGGATTTATCAATATGTTTAGAAAGTTAGCTGTTTTTTTTTTTTTTTCAATTGATTTGATGATTATGGGAGAAAAAGTAAAATGATGATGGATTGGGTGTGACATTTTATCTTATTGATTATTTTAACTTATTTTGTCTTTTAGAAGACTATTTTAACCTAACCATCTTTGCAAACATCCTTTTTTTAGTTTCAATCCGTATTTTTTATTTTTAATTAATTTTCTTACTTGTACAAAATTTGTAAAAATTCATTATATATTAGTAAAAAATTCAAATATTTATATTAGTTTTTTTTCGTATTTATTAAATTTTAAAAAAAAACTGTACAAATATTTTTAATTTTATCTAAACTAGCACATGTATAAATAAATAATCAAAAAATTAATTTTTGAAATTAAATAATAATCTAAAAAATCCATCTACAATATTTAGCAAAAATGATTTAGAATCAATTAAATTTTATTCATTTTTATCACAGTTACATGTAAAAGAATTTTTTTTTATTCTTATGTCATTAATTGTGTGCTCTAAGTTCTTAATGACAAATATATGTCATAATTTAAGTGGTAAAAATTAAAAAATAAATCAAAAAATTATATTTATGATAAAATATAAATACATTTCATCTTATGAGTTTCGTAAATTTAATTTATCATATGGTAGTGGTAAATTACATTTGTCAATAAAGTAATTTTTTCATATTTTGTCTTATGTTATAAGATTTACGTAAAAATGAATTAAGATTCACTTGTGATATTAAATTTGGGCTTAACATTAAATTTACGCCAACTTGTCCTTCACCTAATCATTGAAAATTGTCTTGTTCTGTTCTCAACTTATATGAATCAATTGACCTACTTATTTATTAAATTAGTAAATAAATATTTGTAAATATTTTTTTATAATAAAAATAAGAAATATGAACTTATTTTATGCATACTTATCAAAAAGTTTGAACTATAGTTTTTTTATAAAAAAAAAACTATATATTTATGTTTAAAACAATTAAATGAATACTTATATATATATATATATATATTCATGTATATAAAAATTAAACACTAAAAAGTAGCCAAGAAAATTTAGTTCAAGTCTTTTTTTTTTTTTTTTTTTTTGCCAATAATTCTTGATTTAAGCCTAGTCCTTAGAAAATCGTCTAGTTCATGTCCAATCCATGAGTTAGCAGACCTACCTATTTATTTAATTTTTAATTTGTAAATATATATATTTTTAAAAATTTATAACAAAAATAGGAAATATGTACATATTTGTTTGGTATATTTATTAACAATTTCAAAATTAATTAAGAAATTATATACTTATTCTTAAAAGGATAAATGACATTGGTAATCCCTATATTTTAACTCTTGTGTTATTTTTTGTCCTTGCAATTTTAATTTGCTCAATTTTGACCCTAAATTTATAATTTTGTCTCAATTTGCTCCAAATTGTTATAATTGCTAGTTTTTTTTTTTAATTTTTATATTGAAAATATACATATGAATAGCATTTGTTATACTTTTATATACAAAATTATAAACTTATTCAACTCAATAAGTTAATCTCAACCAACTCAGTAACTATTTTCTTTCAAAAATCTTAATCGACATTATCAATTAGACTAAATTAATACAAAATCTAAAATTACAGGTAAAAATCAAACTAATTGAAATTACAGAGACCAAATTGACACAAGAGACAAAATGCCGGGACTATTGATATAATTTACCCTTCTTAAAATATATCTAATATTGATTATCAATATTAAGATATATTTATATCTGAAAAACTATTTAAGACTAGATCATGCTAGAACCTGAATAAAAAATTAATAGCATATTAAAAATATTTAATAATTATAAATTCAAATTTGATCAATTTTTCATTTAAATTTTTTCATAGAATTAGGTTGTTTGATAATTTTAATTTATAGTTCTAATTCTTCCTTGTATTTTTTTAAAAATATTTTAAAATTATATATAATTATAATTTCTTTTGAAATTTTCTTTTCAATCTCAAATTATTACAACTTGAATTTGGGTAAAATTCATTTTTGACTTCTCATCTACAAAAACTAACAATAAACATAAATTAATTTTTTAAACATTGTAAAAAGGTAAATAAAGAAATATATTATCAATAATAATAACAAAACATATTTTTATTTATCATGTGATGTCTCACCACTGCATTAATAATAAAATTAATTACGATAATACGACAATAATATATCAAATGATAAGTAACATGTGATCACAATAATTTTTTATGGTTATACAAAAGTACTCAAAATTATATATAAAAAACAATATATGATCCATATTCAATTTTTATATTGTAAAATTCATACTTAATCTCAACTACATATTAGTTTTCTAAATCAATTCATCACCCAAACTATCTACTATTCTTTTAATATTCACATTTTCAAATCCACCCAAACAATGCTCTAGCCGAGCTCACACTACAGGAAATTAGGGATTTAATGGCGTTTAATTAATGGCGTTTTATTAAACGTCACTCTTTCTAACAATTAACGGCGTTTTTTAAACGTCGCAATTGTTATTAAGTAAAACGGTACCGTTTTGTTAACTGAAGACGTTTAAAAAGCGCCTCCAAATCATGTCTCTCTTCACACCCACTTCTGTCTCTCCAAACCTTTATGTTGAAAACCCTATCTTGAGCACCGCCACCTCTTTCTTGCGCACTCAAATCTCACTCACTCTCTTGCTCTCACTCAAATCTCTCTCGATTCTTCTTCAGTTCAGTGATTCGTCTTCATTCTTCTTCAATTCGGTGATTCATCTCAGGATTGCGATTTCGAACTTTGATTTTGAGCACGACTTCGCGATTTATCTCCGTGGATTTGGAAGTCTTCGTCTTCTTCGATCAGAGGTTAGTTGCTATCTCTTTCTCTCATTCAAATCTCTCTCGATTCTTCTTGAGTTCGGTGATTCTTCTTCAATTCCTTTTCAGTTCGGTGATTCATCTCGGGATTACTTTTCGATATTCCAAAAAAAAGTGCACTTTTTATTGACTTCATAATTTCACCCTTTTTTAAACTATAATAATTTTTACACAAATCTCAAACAATGCCGATGGGGCACTTATTAGCATTTGACTGTGATGTATGAAAAAAATCGTTTTACAGCTTTTGACTGGTGATAATTGAATGTGAATGATATTTTTGAAAAAATAAAAAGCGTGACAATGTTCGCACTAAATTAGGTGTATGGTTTATATAGTAAAATAGTTGTATATGTTTGTTTTTACATACATGTATACCTTTCTTTTTGTGAGATGTACTCTTTCCTGTGGCAACATTGTTGATTGAATATATGCTTGAACTAGTTCCTGTCTCTTTTAGTGCCAATACATTGCTGTGATATTGCTAGCTATTCAACTACCAGAACTAAGTGAACTTTGATGGCATAAAATTTTGAATCCCAAACTTGTCATCATGCGAGAGAAACTTGCAGTCATTCTACCCAAAAGAGAAATGGATGAAAAAGAAAAACATGAAGCAATGCTCAATTTCCATTCCTTGTTCAATTGAAATGTATTTTATGGAGTTGAGCTTGTTCGGCCAACTTCCTAAACTAATTGTACTCTGCTTCAGAGTTAAACTAAGTAACAAAAATAATGAGAAAAAATATGCAACTTGGAGTTACTAAGTAACTCAAGTAACCGACATTTCTCAGCTAATTCTTCCTTTAGCAACCACCTTCATCAACTGTGCTCTATTTGGAGTTACTTTTCGATATGCAGTAAGTTTGGGTTCTGATCATGAAGTTGCCTGACACCTAAATTTAGCAGAGTACAAGTTATTTTTTTAGTTGGGTTGCATCCAGGTGTACAATACATCCATTACTTGTACAAATGCTGCTATGATTATTTAATTGACTAATTTTTTTTTTATGCTTTGGGTGTTCATGGTGCAGATATATGCGGTTTCTATTACTATTCGTATTGTGGTAAGTGTTTTAATTTAGGATGATAACTGAAACTCTTTTAAAAAAATTATTTGCACTTTTACTAGCATAATTACATATTTTTTGATAGGATCCTCTTGTCATGGCTTGTGGTCTTCCTTGTACCTAATTCTCTTTTATCTCTGTTTTGATAGCTTGGTTTTATGTTGCTCGCCCTCATATGGAGGTTTGATTTCCCACCCTTCATGGTGCTGATCATTGCCATCCTCAATGATGGTTTGTATTTTGTCACACTTTACTTACCTTTTCTACGTGTAGATTCATGCATATTTCTTCTCATTTTCTTGTCATTAGCCTCGATTTGTGTGTGTGTGTGTGTGTGGTTCTAAATACATACTATCTATATGGCATGCCAGGTACCATCATGACAATATCAAAGGATAGGGTGAAACCATCTCCTCAGCCTAATAGCTGGAAGCTAGCAGAAATTTTTGTAACTGGAGTCATTCTTGGTGGTTACTTGGCCATGATGACAGTCATTTTCTTTTGGGCAGCATACAAGACAAACTTTTTTCCTGTAAGAAAACTTATAACTATAGTAAATGGGTCATGAAATAGTTGATTGGATAGACCTGATAGGTTATATGCCAAAGGATTTCATATTTTGTGAATTGGTGACCAGCCCTGGTCCTGGCTTAACATAGTAGTTTAGATTTCCTAAATATTGATATACAGTTTTCATTAATGAGACATTTTCAAGAATGTATGATGTTTATATGCTTGTTATTTGCATTTTATTTTAGGCTCTATGTAATTGATAAATCCAAAATTTTGAAGTGTGCCTGATCTTGTGAAATTTTGAAAATGCATTCCAAATTCAGGTGCCTTCACTGTTCCTGTATGCAATTTTTATTATTTACTTCTAGACTGAAGTCTGAATGATTCTTCTTTTCACTGATCTATCAGTGTTATGCTTGGTCTTGAGACATATTTTCCCCTCATTTTGTGTAATTTCCAGCGTATATTTGGGGTTTCAATTCTTGAAGCAACAGCTCATGATGACTTCAAGAAGCTTGCATCAGCAATATACTTGCAAGTGAGTATCATCAGTCAGGCCCTAATATTTGTGACACGTTCTAGGAGTTGGTCTTTCGTTGAACGTCCTGGCCTTTTGCTAGTGGTGGCTTTTGTTGTTGCTCAGTTGGTAAGTGAACTGCTATTTTCTATTCTTTTCTTTATTTTTTCCAGGCAAGTGCATCCTAAGTCCTAGTTACTTGAAGAATCACCTTTAGAATAAACTTTCCGTTTGTGTGAGCAGGTTGCTACACTGACAATAGAGGATTGATTTCAATTCCTTTTTGTGAAATCAAGAGATCAGTTGGCTGATGTTTTCAATGAAGGTTTTTGTAGTAGGATTTGTTACCATTGTTTATGCTTAGTGTTGGTTAGTAGTAGTTTGAGGCATAATTGTGTACTTTGGATCACTTCAATATAAATTCTTTTGTTTATGGTAGGGAACCTTAATTTTGGGTCTCTTATTAGCCATGTTTACATTTACCATTGTGATTCCCCCTTACTTATTTTGCATCCCTTTTTTATTTCCATTGATTTTGTGGCTTGATTTTCATTGTTGTTGGTTCTGTTTCAGTAACCTATGGAGGACTACATCTGAAGAAAAGAGAGAGTTGGAGCGTCTGGAAAAACCCATATATAATTATGTTAGTTGAGCTACAGAAGTTCATCATCAGGTTTCTATTTTCTAATTGCTCTTATATGAAACAATGCACATACAACTGCTAATATAGAAACAAAAGAATCTACTTTCTGTTAATGCTGGCGAAAACTTTAGTGAGGATTTCTGCATCTGGTTTATCACATAAAACGTTTTGTTTGCCTGCTTTTAGGTTCGAAAATACATCAAAGGTATTTTGAAGCATGGGATGTTAATGGTTGACTTATGTGAAACCCTGGAGAATACCGTCCGTAAGGTGATATGGGAGAATAGTCTACAAGCAGGCATTGCGTTCCCTACAGGGTGCTCTTTGAATTGGTAAACATTTAGTCTGGCATATGAAGATCCTTTCGGGTTCATTTTTTTATTTTTATTTTTATTTTTGCAATTTTTTTAGAAAGAATGGTGTTTTGCTAAGTATTGGGTACGAATTCTTCAATTTGTGTTTATTTTGGTGAATCTTATTACAGTTTATGTTATGATGTAAGCATGTAGACCAGTGAAGACTACAACTTTAATGCTAAGACATGACTTTTGGATATATGTTAGTTTGTGGTTAATGTTAAGACATAATTTTTGGATATATGTTAGTTTGTGGCTAACGTTAAAACATGATTTTTAGATTTTGGATATGTTAATTTTTTGGGTAATGGTGATTGGATATTAATTGAATAAGAAAGTGAATTAATGCTTCATTACAACTATTTGAATGGGAGTTGTTATTTTATATTAGTGCTATTGCAGATATTTTTTTAGCTCAATCAAATAAAATTAGTACAATTTCCAAAAAAAAAAAAAAGGATATGACGGCGTTTCTACAAACGCCTCTTAAATCTTACATACTAACGGTCATATTTGTTTAAAAAAGATATGACGGCGTTTTTCCAAAAACGTCGCTAAATGTCGTGAGGACATTTGGCGGCATTTTTAAAAACGCCGCCTATACTAATATCACGACGTTTTTAAAACGCCATAAAGCTATAGCGACGGCCGCGTCCTCGACGTTTGGTGCTAAGCGTCACAAAAAGAATTGGCGGAGTTTTTGGCACTTTTAGCGGCGTTTTTTAAACGCCACTAAAAGCTGAATTTCTTGCAGTGTCATCATCACCCTTGTTGTTGCCATGCTCACCACCTCCACTAACCATCATGCAACTCCAGTCTAGTTTTTTATCTTTGTAAATATAAAAAGACAATGTTGTGAAAATAAAAATGTACCGTTAGAGTTTTAAAGAGTTAAAAATGAAAAATAAAAAAATACATGATTTTAGGTTTTCTTATTCTATATATGGGTGTTAAATTTTTTTTTAAATCCATAAATTATGGAATAGTGTTCATTATTTAAAATTTTATTTATTGATGGGCAAATCAATTAAATGTTTTTAATTTTTTACAAATAAAAAATTTGAAAATTTTGTTTAACAAATTTAAAAAATGGCCAAATCATAAAGAACAATATAAGACGTTTTATTCTATAAAATAAAAAAATAAAAAAAAACTCATAACTATATTATCAATTCACATATATCAAAATAAATAATAACAACAATATAAAGTTTTTTTTTTTTTTTTATACTTTTTCTATATAATAAAGCAGGACGGTTTTTGAATCTACAACATATTTTTGTCCTACTAAGACATTTGGATGACTCAGATCTGTTCAAATTATAAAACAATGACTAAGATATATTTTTCAAAAAATATCCTACATGTACATTTTCTACTTTCCCGCTTTTCTCTCTTACTTTTTCCTTTTCTCACCCATCTTTCCATGATCCCATGATCCCACATTCCTCACTCTTTTCTTTTTATTTTTTTATTTTCTCTCATTTTTATTTTTCTCTCTATTTGTTTTTCTTTTTCTCCTTTTTGTTCAGTTATTTTTATTTACACCGTACAATTAGGTACGGGCATACACTAATATACATATATATATATATATATATATCTCACAAGTAGTGAAAATTTTAAAATTCTTTGACTAGATAAATAATAGATCATAAATAACAATGCTAGAAATACAAAAAACCAAACACATATGCCTTATAAACAGTAGGTTTTATATCATCTGAGTCCCACCCCTTGTGAAACATGTCTCATTCTGTATTTGGTCTAAACTTACACTTATTGAGTAGACAATAATAATCAATAATACATCAACAAGAAAATCTTGAAATCATAAATAAATAAATAAAAAACAATAACTAATAAAAATAGTTTAGAGAGAATATAGCCTCTGAGATTTATTAGAAAAATGATAAGTTGCACAATAGTGACAATTGGAGGTGTCGAGTCTATATCGAATTGCCTAAAAAATATATGAAAATAATAAAGTACTCTATATAATATATGTATGTTGTTTGTAATGAATCTATATGTGAATAGTGGTCCTCCACATATAGGACTCTAAACACGCCCATTTACCAAGGGACATGCTTTACACGAAAAGACATAACCATTTATATATAAAGTTATAGTGGTCCCTTTGATTTGTGTATTTACACTAAAAGGCATAACCATTTGTGTATTTACCAAGGGACATGCTTTACACGAAAAGACAACCATTTATATATAAAGTTATAGTGGTCCATTTGATTTGTGTATTTACACTAAAAGACATAACCATTTAATAAAGTCATTTATATATAAAGTTAGCATCCTTTACTTAATGTTTGATTAGATCTTTCAAGTGCACCATTAGGAGATTTTTAATTTTTTTCCATCTTGTAGGCTTTGTATCTTCAAAATAGAATTTGTATTTCCTGTAGAAAGGTCCATGATATTGCCATAGAAATGCATGTTTTACTTTATTCCTGTAATTTCCTTTGCTTAGGAGTAGTAATGAGTTAGGAAAGCCCATGAATCAACCCTTTTGCATTTGTGTGAGCTCATGGCCTAGCTCCCACGCTTGTAGCCATCAATAATAACGTGATTTGTTTTTATTTCATTGACTCATGTATCTGTTTTTAATGGATTGTGGATTAAACTAGTCAAAAGAATTTTAAAATTTTTGCTATTTGTGATATACATATACTAGTGTATGTCCGTACCTAAATGTACGGTGTGAATAAAAGTAAGTGAATAAAATGGAAAAAATTTTAAAATGTCCTACATGCTTTTTTTTTTTTTTAACAATCATTTCCAGATAAATAATAAATCACAAATAACAATGCTAGAAACACAAAAATCAGACATATATGTCTTACAAACGGTAGGTCCTATATCATGTGAGTCTCACCCCTTGTAAAACATGTCTCATTCTGTGTTTTGTCTAAACTTATACTTATTGAGTAGACAATAATAATCAATAATATATCAACAAGAAAATCTTGAAATCATAAATAAATAAATGAAAAACAATAACTAATAATAATAGTTTAGAGAGAATATAGCCTCTGAGATTTATTAGAAACATGATAAGTTGCAAATAGTGACAAATGGAGGTGTCGAGTCTATATCAAATGGCCTAAAAAATATATGAAAATAATAAAGTACTCTCTATATAATAAAGTACCAAGGGACTTGCTTTTGAGATATGTCCCTTTGATTTGTGTATTTACACTAAAAGACATAACCACTTAATACAATCATTTATGTATATAAAGTTAGCATCCTTTACTTAAACCATCTCCAATGGATGCATCACCAAATTCAAATTTGGTAAAAAAGAGATACTTTTTATGCTCCAATAGTTTCACCAAAACAATATCAAATTAGAAAAATGTCAAATGTTTCACCAAACTGAGGATCTGGAAAGCGTTCGCCAATTTATTGTGCAGTAACATTGGGCGAGGACCCACCAGACGACCGGCCGAACATCCGACCGGTTGTCCTCCCGGTCATTCGGTTAATCGAACAAACAGATCTGGATTTTGATATGCTTTGAGGATGTAAGTGTTCAATATACTACGAGTTGCCTCACTTTCTTAGCCTTTTTCAGTCCAATCTTGATGACCCATT